TCTTAGTTAATCGGCTATTATGATGTTCTGATACTAAAGTATTACTTAATTGTTCAAACAGATTGAAAGCAATAACTGATCTTGCTGTGTAAGTTTCAGCCCTATATTCGTAATGAAACCAATTATAAAAATTTTGAAAATTGTTTAAAAGTGTATTAAATGGAGGAGTGGATAATACTAACTACAAGTATAGTCTTCGTTAAGGGAGAGTTTGAATAATGTTTCACAATATGTTTTATTGTATTTTCTCAATTACTTCAAAATTTATACATCTCGCTATTTCGTCAGCGATTCATTATGTATGAAATTATCTCTGTTTCTTAATTCTCTTTTTTCAAACTTTTATACACCTTGCTAAATCTGTTAGCAATCCATTATATATAAAGTTAATAGTATTTATAGCAAGAATTACTACTTGTTAACGTTACTCTTTCTGTTGAATAAGTTAACTATGATTTAAAATCAGAGAAACAATAACTATGACTTAAATCCAATCAACTTGACACGCTGTTTATTAGAGAGTTTATTTAGTTAACAAGAAATAAATTATAAGTTTTATGTTTACAAAATGTTAAGAGTGTTTATTATTATTATTGAATACAATGTTGAGAACTTGTTTTAATCTGTCCTTTTTCTAAGGCATTTTCATGTCTTTTATATAGGAAAATTACAATTAAAGAAAATCTATGATAAATATGATACTACTAACAATAATAACAGAGCTAACAGATATGCTAATTATGATATAAATAATAATAATGATATAAATAATAGAAATATAATAAATATTATGCATGTCCTATTTGGCAGATATGACATATTTAGCAGATATGTCATATATGACCGATCTGTCAGTTTCTGCCAGTTTCAACATGATTACTGTGTTACACTTTTTTTTTAATTTCACAGTGTATTTTGAACCCTTTGGTTTAAGTAAATCATTTTTTATTTATAATTCAAAGTTGTTCAGCAGGTCTGAAACTACTTAAAATAAATTTATTATAGTTAATAAGATATTTGTGAAACTGTTGGTATTTTTCATAATATCATTAACATATGAATTTTTTTTTAAAAAAAGTAATATTAAATACTTTTGCTTATTTTTAATTCAAAAAAAAATAAAAGAACTTTTAACTATTCATAATCTATATAATAAATAAATAAAGATATATATTTTTTTTTAAAAAAAATTCTTATTGTTATTAATTTGGTTTTAAATGTTTTAAGTTTCTTTTACTTATCATTATATTTTTAATAGAAAATTGCACTAACTTCTAATTGAGATCCAAGTTAATTAACAAAGGTTACATGAAATTTTTTTTATATTTTCATAAAAAAAGTTAATAAGTTCATCTTTTACTTTTGGATTTAAAGTATTACATTAACTTTAAATTATATATATATAGTATGTACACTTCCCTTCAAAAAATATCTGACCATCCAATTTTTTTGATATTTTATACTAATATCTTATTAGCTATAAATATTAGAATGATGATTTATAATTATATATTAATTTTTTTATTTAATAAATATTTCAAACATAATTTGATAACTGATTAATAAGTCCAATTTTGTAAAAATCAGTAATTTATATCTATAAATAATACTTAATAAATTTTTAATCATTAAACAAAATTTTAACCAAGCTAGTTACAACAAAACCCATATTATATTATTGCTTTACTTTAGGAAAAAAAGTATACCAAATTTCATAAAGATCTGATCAGTGGTTGTTAAGATATTAAACTTCAAAGATTAGCTATTTACATATAAAACAAATTAATTTTAATAATTTTATATGTAAATTTCTAACCTTTGAAGTTCAATTTTTTAGCAACCACTGATCAAATCTTTATAAAATTTGGTATATTAATTCTTCTAAAGTAAGTTAATTATATATATGAAAGGTTTTGTTGTAGCTAATTTGGTTACAATTTTATTCATGGTTGAAATTTTACTAAGTGCTAGTTACAGATGTAGATCACTGATTTGTACAAAATTGGACTTATTAATCAAATATTAATTATGTTAAAAATATTTATTAAATTCCAAAAATTAATATAAAATTATAAATTACCATTCTAGTATTTATAGCTAATGAGGTATTAGCATAAAATATCAAAAAGTTGGATGGTCAGATATTTTTTGGAAGGGAGTGTACATGAGAACAATATTGCATCAAAGGTTTCATTATAGCAAATATATTTAAAAAATCTTGCCTTCAATTTTTATGACATTTCTAGTGACGGTTATACTATGTAATTTTTCTAATACTAATTCATTCTTAGTAATAACAATAATTCAGTATGATGGAATTTTTTTGTATTAATAATTTTTTTTTGTAATAAATTTGTAAATATAATTAAAAACTGGACCTATTCACATGACAAATAAAATATACATAAATTATTATTACTTTCTTAATTTAATAGACAACTTTTATCTTTAACACAATAAGGTAGGTTACATCTAATAAAAATAAATTTTCTCTAGCAGTTTCCTCTTTCTATTGCAAACAAAGATTAAACCAGTTTTTTTAAATACATTTGCGTCTAAAATTAAATTTTTTCATATAATTGTGCTAACTAATATTTACTTAATGGAAATAAACTATATATTTTTTTACAAATTAAAATATTCAAAAATATTTGTATTTTAATTTTTTAAAAATAACAAATAACTTATAAAATTACATTATATACTTGCTTTAAAAATATAAATATCTTAGCGCTTTAATCTGTAATAAGTAAAAAATCTAACTCAGAGAAATACTTATTTGATATAAAAACTAATATGATAAAATCATAACTAAATAAAAGAATACTGTCAATTAATCTATCTAAAATTTATATACATATATTTTCAAATAAATGTTTTAATTTTAAATAGAATTTTATAGCAAGTAGCTTAACTAAACTTTTATTATAAATCTAAAGAAAAGGCTTAAAAAAATGTAATGATCAGAATGAAAATAAAAGAAAAAAATTTAAAAAGCCTTTACCGTAGCATCTTGAATTAATATTTTTTTATGAATACAAAAAAAAATCTGAAAGGAAAAGATAATTTTCTATTTCATAAAAATTTGGATTAAGAAATTAATCCTAACAAAATTTCTTGATTTTAAATTTAAATTTAAATTTAGAATTAATAGGTTTAGAGAAGAACTGGTTTGAACTGGTTAATAACCAGTTAAATTATTAGTTAACTAGTCCAATTAATTAACCACAGCCGGAATAACATAATGGAATTTCTTTAAAAGGTTATGAGACATGATGATCCTTTTTATATTATTCTATTATATATATATAAAAATTATGAAACATATCATATATATAATGACATTTTTCTCACTAAACTTTATCAAAAAAAATTTCACAAATATTAAAATAACCTTTGTTTGTTTTATTAATTATAAAGATCAAAATAGATCTAGTTAATTTTGAAAGTTATTTAATAATTAAATATAATGAAAAATCATTATTAACAAACTATATAGAGTTACATTAATTATTATTATTTTTTTTTAATTATTCTTTTTAAATTTCTAATACTAATTAGCATTATTAATTACAGATGTTTGCCAACTTTTTTCTATCATTATTTCTATAAGTATATCTTTATTTATTACATCTATTTCCTCTTTCTCCTTCAAAACTTCTTTTTTCTTTTCTTTCAAAATTATATCTTCTTTAGTAGTATCATAAAGTCTTTTTCTAATCAATTTAAAAATGATTTAACATTTGTCTCAATCCCTTTTTTATAGTAATATTCATAATACCTATACCTTTATTTTAAAAGTATAAGGTAATCCATTGATAACATATTACAAATTAATACTTCACTATTATACATAAGATTATTTGCAATAAGGTTTATTGCATAAGCCATAATTTTTTAGTGAAGAAGGATATTCTAGTTATGAATTGTATGGTAATCATCTATATTAAACATAAATATATAAAGATTATTCTATATTCTATAAATAATATAAATTATATTTTTAGCTTTAATTTTCAAAATATAATTAAATAATACATTTGATAACATTTTTATCACAATTATGTATTGCATAAGATCCACAATTTGACAATGCGGCATTTTTTAAAAATTTCATATACTTTTAAAAATAATCACATACTTTTATAATTTTAGTAATAATCAGTAATAAATTTTACCAATTACAGTAAATTTACAAAATTAAGGTAATGTTTAGTAGTTAATCATACAAAACTTCCTCATGCTGGCTGAAGTTAAATTCATTTTAACCAGTTAATTTGTTAACCACTTTAACAGAATATAAAAAATTATTAACCAGTTAATATATTAACTGCTTTAACTGGTTAATTAATGGAAAATTCGTGATTATATAATAATCAGAGTGTGAAATCTAAATTTAATAGTAAATTGTAAGATTAATAATAAATAATAAAAATATAGATTTTTCAAATCTCTGTTTCTTTGCTAATTAACTTTTCATGTCTTTCAAAAAATAAGCAATACAATTTCTTTCTAAGAGTAATCTTGTTTTAACACTTCATTATGTGTATTTACAGTAAACTGGTAGACTTTTATTAATAAAAAATTCCTAATGAAGAGAAACAAATATGGGAGGTTTACTAGAAAAGAGGGTTTTGAGATTAATTTCTATTTTTGTATAATATAATAAACAAAATTTGAGCTTTAATGTTGAGGTGATCTATTTTTATAATTTTAAATCATGTGATTTATATTATGTGTTTAAAATTATATTATATTATATAATATAAAATATTAAATTATATCGATCATTTCTTAAAATATATATTAATCATGTTTATCATTTTCAAATTCTATTTTTAAATTTCTATGTAAAAAATTTAATTGCTTTTTATTCATTTTTAATATTAAGTTAAAGTACTTTAAAAATTTAACTAGTTAAAGTTATTATAATATAGATTAATATAAAATAAGCTCTTTTTCCTAAAAAATCTCCTATATTTCTATCTATAAGACTAAATATGAGAATGCAATTGGAACTTAGCAAGACTAAGTTTATTGTTCGTATTATTAATACAGAAGATAGTATTAAACTAGGTTATATTTGTGAATCTGATGTGGCTGTAAAAGTTTATTTCTCTGCTTCAGAAGTTGTAAATAAAATCTACAACAATTTTTTCAATAATAAAACATGATATTCAGGACTTGTGATATTAGAATTTGATAATGAAAATATTACTCAAGAACTATTATCTGATGTTTTATTTTATCCTTTTAAAATTAAAGTTGACAAACTTTCTATTTTAATTATAAAGTTAAGTGATTCAAATAACAATAAATTAGTTAGGTATCAATTAAGTTTTATATATAAATTTCAAAATAAACAAAGCCTTTTTGTACAAAAAATTGAAAGTAAAAAATATTATATAGAGATATTTCAGAAAAAAGAAAGAATAGCATATTATAGTAATGTTTTATCAACTGAAGTTTGGAGGTCAACAGGGATATTGAAAATTTATAATGGTGACATTTTATTTGGAGTTGAGCAACCCACTACAATCAATACATTAAAAATTATTCAAAATTACTAATATATAGTGTGAATAAATGGGATACTATTAAAATAATAACCTAAGTATTTAAACGGCATCTAAAATGTAAAATTGCTATTCTTAGTCTTAATTGATATGAATTTTTTGTTGAGTGGAAAAAACAAGAGTCAAATATTATAGAGTTTATAACGTATCTTAAATTACTATATCTACTGAACTATGAATTTAGTAATTAGGAGGTTTGTGCTTAGAGAAATATGATAAAAAGCGTGAGTTATACAGATATAATACCCTATAAAAGCAAGAAACAAAGGTAATTTTTTTGAAATTAACCATTCACTAAATTTCATAAATCTGATTGATAAAATTATATAGTTTGAAATATTGCAGCTTTTTTACTAAAATAATATTTATTTTATTATAGCCTGAATTTTAGACTCATGCGATAAATGTTCATAGTGATGATGCTACTCTTCTATACTTATTCAATAAGAATTTGATAACTGGTGTTAATAATAATAAAGCTGAATTTATAAAAGAAAACAATCAATTTAAAATAATAATAAATAAATTTTAGAAATGTTTTAAAGAAACAATCAAAGTTAACAAATATGGGTTAGATAGAAAGCAACAAATTCTCTCTATTATAACAGAAAATTTTGGATTTAGAGAAATACAAAAGAAATTACTAGTAAGTTCAAATATGTTTTTTGTTAATTATTTCATAAATAAAATAAGCTTACCGCAATTTCTTTTAAACTTCAAATGATTTAATTAATTTCACAAAGAAATATAATCACGTAAATAGTCCAAAAAATTTTGTGAAAATTAAACCTATTGTAACATGAAATTATATCTCTGAAATAAAGATAAAGAATTTGAGAGCTTTTTTTCTGATAAAGAAAATATCACTATGAGCTCTTATCATGTTGATCTAAAAATTAATCTACCATTACTATATCTAAAAGATAGCAAAAAACTCTATGGTAAAAATTTGAGGTAGCTTATCCTGATGGAATAAAAAGAACTTCTTTTATGATACGTTTAACAAGTAATTATTATGTATACTAAAAAGATTTGAGTGGACTATGTAATATTTGCAATAAGTATTGTTATGAAGTATTTAATATATTTATTAGTTTAATACAATTATATGTAGATAAGAAATCACGATTATACATAAAATATTATGTAACAAATTTTGATTTAATGAGTTTTTTATTTAAATAAATAAATTTCCTAATTTTTTTTTAAAAAACAAAAACAAAATCTTAAAAATCAAGAATACACTAGTAAATGAACTTGAAAAATTATGCTACTATCTAAAATAAGGTTTTGAAAGTAAACTTATTGTAAATGAAAATGACACAGTATCACATTCAGATATGATTAACTACTGCTTATTATACGCGTATAGAGAATATACACAAGAATATAGGACTCATTATGCCAAATGCATTCAACTATTCAAACTTTTTGAATATTTAACTGTAGTACTTTCAGAGAATTTTTAATTGACAATTGAAGAATTATGTAATAAACTTTATTATTTTATTACTCATTAGGCAAGAAAAGTCCATTTAAATAATCAATTTAAAGCAAAACTTTTAGAGCTTGATAATGATGGTGCAATTCTAATTTATGATTACAAAATGAGGATCTTACCTAAAAGTACTTATGAAACTAAGAAGCAGTTCTTCAGAAAATGTGGTTAGACACTTTATATAATTTTGATATTTACAAAATGTAACGCTTTATAATTAAATGTACAAGCATTTGACTATTAGTTTACTGATACTAAGTAAGATGCTTAGTTCACTGTATCATCTTTTGATACTATTTTTGAAATGATAAACCCAAAACTAAAATGGATCAAAATATTTTCTGATAATGATAACTATTATTATAATTTGGAATTAATGATCATTGTTACAAATTGGAACTAATGATATGAAATTGATGTTTGTGAATGGCATTTTTTTGAGTTTAAGGAGGCAAAATCTAATATTAATTCACATCATGTGCAGATAAGTTATATAAAATATTGATTTGATGATTTTATCTAAAAATACTTTCTATTTAGGTAGCTCATTCCATCAAAGGTATGTAAGAGTTAGATATAATTTAGATTTTCAGATTGCATAAAAATCAATTTGAAAATTTTTAGTTCAGTTCATATTTTTTCAGATTATAATTCTAATCTGAACTAAAAAAAATTTGAACTGAACTGATAATTTTAGATTAATCTGAAAGTTCAGTTTAATTATATGTAAAACTCTTGGAGGATCGCAAAATTTGCGAATTCTCTAAGAGGATCGCAAAAATTTAGTGAAACTCTTAGAGAATCACAATTTTTTGCGATTTTTCTTAGAATTTCACAAAATTATCGTAAAACTCTTGAAAAATCGCAAAATTGCGATTTTTCTTCGAATTTTACAAAAAATCACGAAACTCTTAGAGAATCACAATTTTTGCAATTTCTCTTAATATTTTGCAAAAAATATCACGAAATTCTTGGAGAGTCACAAAAAATCGCGAATTTCTCTAAGAGGATCGCAAAAATAATGTGTAAATCTTAGAGAATCGCAAATTTTTGCGATTACTTATTGAATTTTGCAAATTTTTGTGAACCTTAAAGAGAAATTCATGATTTTTTGCGACTCTTTAAGAATTTTGCGATATTTTTTACGAAATACTAAAAGAAATCGCAAAAATTGTGATTCTTCAAGGGTTTCACAATTTTTTTGTGAAATTCAAAAAAAAATCATAATTTTTTATGGATTCCTTATATAATTGAACTGTAATTTCATATTAATCTGAAAATTCTGATTCAGTTCAGATTTTTACTGGTCTCGGTTCAGTTTAGATTTAGATTGGTATTTTTATGATTAATAATCTGAACTAAACTGAACTGAAATTTTCAGTTCAGATATGGATTGGCATCTAATTCAGACTGAACTGAACCGTTCAGAGTTTTACACAACAAGAATCTGATAGAACTTCTGTTGCTTATTTAGAACTAAAATGCAATCATATACCCATTAAAACTATATTTTAGTATTACCAAATTATCATATTTTGAATGGTCAATTGAAGGTCCATTCATTAGATATATTCAAGTTCAGATCTTATCATATATAGGTGAATAGTCACGCTATTCTCTAACTGATATCTCAAAATTAATTAATATAGGATTTTACACAAGCTGAATCCTGATGTTTCTACTTATTATAAATCAGTTTTGCCATAGAATTCTCTTATAATTCAGATTAAAGATCATAAATGAATTACATATTTATTTAAAGATAATAAAAATAATATTTTTTTTTATAGATAAAGCAAATAAAAATACATTAAAAATTAGAATTAATAACCAAATCACTCTAATAGGTAAGTATTGTCAGACTGTTTCTGACACTGTATATATTTTTCATACAAATTTTAAATTAGGAATTACTTTATTATTATTATAGATATGAATGATAAATTTCAGTTAAAAAATAGGTAGGCACTCAAGAATAACCAGAAATATAGTCAAAGGGGTAGTAGAAAGCATATAACAATAACAGTAAGAATTTATTTAGAAGGATTTTTTAGCAGGAAATGTGAATAAAACAGACTGAATATTTGTGAAAGATATGGTTATAGAGTTAAATAAACTAGCAGAAGAAGGCTAAATTTAAAAAGATGAGGTATTAGAAATAAAAACAATTGAAGATTAGATTATAAGATATTTCGCAAGTTTGTGCAAAGAATTAGTAGAACAAAGAATAATAAGTAAAACTAATAAAAGAACTGAAAAAGAAGGTAATAATAAGGGTAAAAATAGTTACAAATAGCAGAAAAAATAATGTTTTTATAACATGAATCAATAAAACTTTAAATTTTACTTTATTTTAACCTATCTAAATTTCCATTTCGTCTATGTAAAGTTTTTGAATAGGAAACGAAAAGTATTATAAATGAATAAATAAAAACTTTCAGATTCAGTTTATTGTTCTATCAAATTTTTTTAATATATATTACTTTTGTGTTTAATATGTTATGTGATTGCTGCATATTAGAAATTATTTATATAATGATCGCCTCAAATTTATCTTATAAATCTGCTCTGATTGATCAGTGAATTAACAATTAAAAATTAACTGATTCTGATCTCTAAACAGATTTGTGTAGTATATACATAAATTAATGAATTAAACTAATAATTTTTTTTTAAAATTATAACAATATTTGACAGTGCAGTACAAGAGTAAAATGAAAAAGTTTTAAAAATATAATAAAATAAAAAAGAATAAAAAAAGATATCTGGAATACATAAACATTTTCTACTATTAAACATTAATAATTTTAATGAACTATCTTATCGATCTTGAAACAAGTACAGATATATTTTATTAAGAGTTTAATACTTGGTCAGACCACTATTTGCATTTATTACTGCCTGAATTCGTTGAGGCATACTTTCGATTAAATTTTCAATTTTTTTGGAAGTAATTAATTTCCAAGCCTTTTGTACTTGTCATTCAAGTAAGGAAAGGTTAATGGGCTTTACTTTTCAGCTTTGAAGGATTTTTTAATTTCGTTTTATAGATTTTCAATCAGGTTAAGGTTAGGACTTTGAGCAGGCCATTTAAGGGTTCAGATATTTTTTTTTGCACGAAATTCTGCAACAATTTTGCTTTTGTGACAAGGAGCATTGTTTTCTTGAAAAATACCATCCCCATTTAGAAAAAATCGCTTCATAGTAGGATAACATGCTTGTGTATAGTTTCAAGATGCACTGCACCATTTACAGAACTAACTAAAGAGACAATTGGTCCTAATCCTTATGCAGAAAAATATCCTCAGAACATCTGACTTGAACTGTGCTTCACTGTCGCTGAAACACAAGCAGGTAACCATTTTTCAGATGGTTCTCACCAAATCCGGCTAGTACGTGATTGTTGAAATTGAGAAAAGGTTGATTATTCACATGGTCATTTCAAATTATAAGTGTATAAAACAAATCGTGTGAGGTTTACAATTTTTGCAAAGTTTGCGATATTTATTATATTTATGATGTTGGTGATATATTTAGATGAAAATAGTGGTCTGATCAAATAATAAATAGCTTAGTACAAAGTTTAATTTACTATTCTAGAAAAAATATTTATTATTTGATGATCATTTGCTTACTTAATAAAAATATTATTAAAATTCATACAAAAAAGTGTGCGTAAACTTTTGGAGACTCTCTGTATATATAAATGTAATTTTTAACAGAATTTTTTTTTACAATATAAAATATTTATAATATTGACCTTTCTGATTTAACCATTATTTCATCAATTCATATTTGGATTAACGTAGATTTATCCTATGGAGTATGCGAATTCACTTTTATTGATAATGTAATTCACATCAATAATAATAATGCTTATTTTTATCCAATTT